TCATAAGGGCTGAGCTGATTGTGAGTGGCCTCCAGTTCGCGGGGTCCTTCCTATCTCCGTCCTTATAAATAAGGATTGTCCTGGACGTCTGCCATGCTGTGGGGACAATTCCGGAGAGGAGGACTATGTTAAATACCACTGCTAGGACGTCACTTGGTATCGCTTTAACAGCAACGACTGTTAAGCCGTCAGGACCAGGAGCGTTGTTGGCCAGTCGGCCTTTGCTCGAAGCACGTCGTCCCCCGTAATTGGGACTAACTGGTCGTGCTTCCGACGCAAAGGTCACTGGCTCTTCGTCAACAGGCGAATCGGCCTCAAAAGAGGACCAAAGTGATCGACTGCATCGTTAAGTTAAGCAGTCGTCACTAGCTTCGCCTGTGTCCCCTCGCAAGATCTTATCGGCGAGGGAGGATCTAGACTTCATGAAGAGGTCTTGAGCCTTTTTGTAAGCCGCCGACCTGTCACTGGTAATGGGTGTGACACGGCCGTAGTTGTACTCACGCCCTTGTCTTGGGGCGTTATTCTTGGCTGGTCGGCGGGTGCTCCTGTGTCTTCTGGCAGACTGCGTCCATGACGCTATATAGTCGTCGAGAGCCTTCATAAGAGGCTCGTTGCGACCCTGAAGAGCCAGATCTATCAGGATTTGATTTCCTCAGGAAGCTGCGTGAATCTCGCTTCCTGAAGGCTCTCTCGCAACGAGCCTCCCAGAGGAGCCCGTGATTGTGTTAGTCGTCAGTGTCTCTGTCCGCGTCAGTTGTTATTACAATATCGAGGTTTACAATATTAATTGGCGCGGAACTGTCACTTACACTATCACACACACAATCTTCGTCTGAGTCTTTCTTGGTGTGGACTTTCTGGTCGGGGCAATTCCAGAAGGCCCTGCCTCTTGCGAGGTGTGGATCACAACCGGAGAGTTAGCAGAGTGCGCTGCCGCGGGCGGCTCTATACTATTGATGTGCCGCTCAACGGAAGTTCTTCGTTCAGCGGGGGGAGATGTGGAGACGCATGATGATCCAGATGGCGTTTGTTAAATTTTGCCTCTGTGGTGCGTCACCTATTTCCGAGGCAGGTTGGTTGGCCTCGGTTCCCCTGCTTCCAATAAGATTACGGAACTCCGTAGCCCGTAGCCGATAGCTCGCTTAGGGCTGAATTTCTTTGGACTTTTCAGAGTCCGACTGCTTTCGCTGGCTGGAGGACGAGCTTGTTGAAGTCTGCTCATATCCTCCGTTGTGGCAGCAGTCTGTGCTCCTAGTCGGGCGCGAGCTTCTTCTTTAGCTAGGGCTAGGTACTCCTTGTAGATTGTCTTGTCTCTACGGTGGCGTATTTGATGTTTGGTCAGCCCTGTTGCCGCCACCATATCTTGTAAGAAGTACCTTTGCTCGGGAGGCAGGTTAGCCTCGATGTTTGCTAACCTCATCATGGTTTCAGCCTCGAGTGGGGCGCGTTCTCTGCCACATGGCGGTTATACTCACTGGGTGGGCCTTTTTGGTGTGCAGCCGCGTGCCAGGGTAGGTTTGAAATACTCTGTCACAGAAACTGCACTGTTGCCAGTCTGTGATGTTGACAGCCCCCTGCGGATGTTTTCGGGGGGGCCTCTGGGCATCTTCTATTATGGTTGAGGAGGCCTCTAAGTGTGGTAAATGACCGACCACAGGGGCAATTGTTGGTCGGTCGGCCTCCTCTGCCATGGGGTGATGTTGTTGGGAGTGGCGAACCTCCAGAATTGCTCTTGGAGGCCGTATCAGTAGAATTTCCAGCCACTCCCGTTTGCAAACGCTGAGTGGTGTACTCAGTATCGTATCTCTTCGTGGCGCCACGTGTCGCGACGTACGATTTTACTTCCGCCTGGTTGTTGGAGGCGGCGGATCGGCTGTCCATACCTACAAATGGCGCCGGAGCCTCGGGGATAGGATATACTACCTAGACGTGATGATTATAGGGCTTGTAGTCGGGCAAGCTATTGCTACTGCCCGGGAGTTGCGGGGTTCGACGTAAGGGGGGCTTCCTGGTCTCGGAGTTGGACCAAGAAGTTTTCCACTCCACTATGAAGAGACCAACCCAAGGACCTTGACCCGATGCGGAGTTGCGGGATCGCTTCATGCACAGGGAGGAAGTTGGCCCTCCAGGTGCGAGGAGTTGCACGATCCCGCCCACCTGCTGGTAGCAGATACAGTGGGTGTTCTGGTGTCGATCAACACCGGGAGTTCTCGAATCGAACGGTAACAACCCCGGGAGTTGGGGGTTTGAAAAATGGATTTTGAAAAAAGTTGCAGGGGAGTTCGTGGAGCCTTAATGAACCACAATTAATGCCTAACGGTTGGTTTTGACGATCTAAACTATGGAAGTTGCGCTATTGAAAAATGGAAGTTATTTTGGGCATCCGTGTGTTAACAGAGGTCCGAAAAACACGGAAGTTGCATATTTCCAGAAAAGAGTTAAAGAAGTTTTTGAAGTTGGTAGTATATCTTGGACAACCCTCCGGCACTCACCCAGTAGGTCGGAAGGACTCTAATCCACACCCATATACACCAGGAGCGATATCACTCACCCGCGCATACACGTGCACAAACAAAGTCCCCTCGTATACTGGACAGCCGCGCGATACTGGTGTGTCGGAAACACTTTATATAAAAACACTTTGGAATAAAGTGTTTGCGTAGTTTTATATAAAGTGTCGCAATACGCTGGTATGGGAGCTCGCGATGTCGATGCACTTGACCCACTAATTTAATTGCATGGGTACAAAGTGCACTGTACAGTTAATTGATAATGTCTGTTCTTACTGCACTCCGCAAGCTCGTAGTGCCCTTAG